CCATCTAGGTCTGGAATTACTCTTTCGAACAGTGATTGTCCCAAGACATTTGAGGAAAGAGAATACATGGTAAAGATACCTTATGCTTCGGCAGTTGGGAGCCTTATGTATGCAATGCTTTGTACTCGACCAGACATTTGCCATGCGGTCGGGATTGTAAGTCGATATCAGTCAAATCTAGGACCTAACCACTGGGTAGCGGTCAAGCATATATTCAAGTATCTTTAGAGGACTAGAAATTATATGCTGGTATATTCCGGGGAAGATTTGACACCTCTAGGATATACAGATTCAGATTTGTAATCCTGTTTGGATTATAGGAAATCGACTTCGGGATCTGTCTTTACTCTGGGAGGTGGTTCCGTCGTTTGGAGGAGTGTCAAGCAAACTTACACTTCTGACTCAACAATGGAAGCCGAGTATGTGGTAGCTAGTGATGCTTCAAAAGAAGCAGTGTGGCTCCGTAAATTTCTGATGGATCTTGAAGTAGTTCTTGGTGTGGATAAACCATTGAGACTATACTGTGATAATAGTGCGGCAATAGCTAACACCAAAGAACCAATATATCAGAAAATGAGTAAGCACATAGACATGAAGTATCACGTGCTAAGAAGCTTTATTGAAGAAAGGCATGTGGAAATATGCAAGATCGCGTCGGAGGACAATATGGCTGACTCGTTCACGAAGGCCCTGCCGGCTAAGGTCTTCGAGAAGCATGTCGAGGCTATGGGGATGCGTAGCATGTCACATTTACTCACTTAAGTGCAAGTGGGAGATTGTTAGCGTTTATGCCCTTAGGAATAAATGTAACAATATTCTTTGAGACAGTTTGACTATTAATAAAGATTTGTTTATTTCATATATCTATGTATTGTCCTCCTTATGTTCATAATAGTTGAATGTATGATAAGCAAACTGAAAGTCTGAGACTTCATTCAAATCTTTAGGTCATGCATGTAATGTGAAGAACATGCAGAAGACAAGAATCTAAATATGATAGTCTAAATCTTATGATCCACAATCGAAGGAATAAAGTTGGGCGCTTTATTCATGTTAAGATTGTTATGTTGTCTACTTCCTAACGGAGACGGCTTGTCTTGGTCATCGGAGGTGGGACTCTATGGGTGGAGACATTGATATAGTTTCTAATGGTGAAATCTATATTGGATCGGACCAAAGTTGAATTGTTTTAATTAATAATTCTGTTTGAATAAAACAATTCACTTTTGACGAATTATATGTTATCATCTTAATCCTGAGATGGATGACGAACCCGTATGCTTGACTTGTATCCTTTGATGTACTAAAGGAAGACATCCTAACATTATGTAAATGTATGCTTGCCGGTACATTGGGGGTATGACTCATGTATGCGTAGATTCGTTATTCATAGATAGTGGAATCCATAGCTCCTATAGAGAGTTAATGATATCCTCTTATGCATTATCAGTGGATTGGAAAATACGAGCGCTCGGCCATTAGACTACTCTGTGTTATCTAATGGTTTACTATTTGTAATTGTACGAATAGTGTTTTTCCGATGGTATGATAATGGAACATAAGATAAATGTAATCGGGAAGGTAAAACGGAACTTGACCTCAAGTCGATTATGGATATCCTATGGGGATGATATACTAACATATTGAGTCATGAACTAGAGCTAATCTGAGCTTTGTAAATACGCTATATAAATTGAGAGTGCAGCTCTAGGCTTTTAGTGGAATAGCGCTAGAGTTTTATAATCATGAGACGGACTTGTTGGTTTACAAGTAGCGTTGTGATTATAGGAGCTTGATTTATATATGTCCATCGGGTCCCTTTACTAGCTCACATAATTTCCTGTAACGATACGGCGTATTTCCTACACATTGGTAACTTGTGTTATTTTCGTAAAAGAGGTTCAAAGTTAATTCATGGGTGATTTATCGAGTGAATTAATTAATAAATTAATTCTGGATAAATTGGTTGAATTATTGTTTTAAGAGTTGTTCAATATGGGAAGACTGTTATATGACTTTTTTGATCAGGTAATTTCTCTATTGGGTTGCTTGAATCAAAACTGAGGCTCTATGCAAGTTTTCAGTGTTGAAAAACTAGGAAAACAACTTTCGTCAGTGCAGACGGGTCGACCGATGAGTTATAACGTCTCTATCGCCGGTCGACCGGTTGTAACGTAAAATGCATGCTAACGTGGCAAAATTGACTCTGGATGCGATTAGAACTTTAGGAAACCTAATTATTACGGAAGTATAACTTCCTAAACACTATAAATAGCCTATTAAGTCACTTTATTCATTAGATCACTTGAGAGACTTTTTGGAGGCTAATGATAAAAGATTCCTGAGAGGAAAAATTGTTTAATTCTCAAGAACAATTTTTTCTTTGGTTCTCTTGTGATTGGAAGGAGATCAAGAATACCAAGAGGAGATTGAACGACGTGTGACTACCCGCACTCCGATCATAGAAACGAGAATAGCAAAGAAGACTAGTTGGTTGAGGCTCTTCCGGTTGCTGTTTGGAACGCTTTGATCTGTTAAACGTGCAGTTTCCTAAAATCTCAAAATGTATGATTTAGATCTTTAGTATTTATGTTATATAGCATCATGAACATGTTCTTGGTTGGCTTTGATGTTGATTAAATTTTTTAAATTCCGCTGCGCACTCGATGCCATTATTTTCCAACAGTATGTGCCATCCACAGAGAAGGACGATTGCTCGATCGAATCTAAAGTAGGGTTGATATTGTCATTGGTCTTGAGACATTTTTGGACGCAGTGATCTTCATCTCAATCTATCTTGTGGAGGTCGTGGTATGTGAGAGAAGTTGAGTTGTCTTATAGTGCACACGTCGGTTATTGTCTATGTGTATTTACCAACCAGTTATCTTTTCTACCATTTTATTTCGTTAATGTTGAGGGACATTGCTCTCTTTTGGTGGTTTGATGTTCTAGTTTGTGCAATTTTTCATTTTTCATGTGTAATAATGGTGGTTCTTTTTCTAATTAGTTTAGGTTTTTTTTTTTTTGTCTCCAAGATATGTTTTTTTGCGGTTTTTTTCTAGTATTCATGTCATGGGATTCTTGATATCAGTTGATTGAATTGTTTTCGACAGTAGAGGATTTAAAGAATCATATGTGTGTTTGATTTTTTGTATACATCTTTGAGTAGTTTTTATTTGTGGAGTTAAGTAAAAACTATTATCTCTTGAGCTTTATTCGAATTTACTGATAGAACTTATTATTTATGGTACCTTTTCTTTTCCTTCCTTCCTTTGATACATCAAAAACAGAACCTGTTAACTTGATTAAATATGATTTTCTTATAATATTTATAAAGTATCCTATGATGAAAGGACACTAAAATTTGTAACTTATTATATTTACATGATGTTACATAAATATATAGAAAAAATTTGGAATTTCAAATGAGCTGCGGTAAGAACACCAACTCTAATACTAATTTTTTTTTTAAAATTTATGTGATAGTTAGTTATTATTTCTCATTGGTAAATATAGCATAATATTATTAAGAAAATACCTAAAATAGCTCATTGCGTTCGGCTAAAATACCATTTTTTCACTTTTATTATATAAATGTCCAAAACATCTCCTGTATTTATTTGAACATCCTCTAAGGCAATTAATTTTTTAAAACACTTAACTTACCCTTCACAATAGTTTTTAAATACGACTTAACAAAAAATAGTGAATAAAATAATAGTAAAATTTTTAAAAATATTTCAATTAAACAAACACTTCAATTATTTTGAGAACTATTGATTTTTTAGAATAGATTTTATTTATTATTTTAGTTTAATAATATCTTAAATTGTACTTAATAAAGTTGGAAAGGGTAATTTTGGTGTTCAAAAATTTAATTATTTTAGGATATTTTGAATCTGATTATATAAACACATTAGGTGTTTTAGATATTTGAATTATAAAAAAGACTAAAGTGATATTTAAGTATTATCCCTATAAACGACATGAAAATCTTTTAAAAACATACTAATAAAAGAATTAATAAAGAAATCTTACTATAAAAGGACAATAAAATTTGTGAGTTTATTATATTTACATGATGTTGCATAAATACATAGACAAAATCACAAAATGGTACAAACTTTAATATGAAACTCAATTGAAACTCTAATCCTAATTTATTGTTATACCAATTTATGGAACACTCAAGGTATATTTTTTTTCATTGCTAGATGTAATATTTTATTATTATTCAAGACAGTAAGCTTTTAAACACCTACAAATAAAAAAAATAACAATTTAAATGCCACATAAATTTATTTAAAAAAGGTTTAGACTTTTTTTTTTTTTTTGGGGAAAGAAACTTAGACTAAATTGGAGTTATAGTATTATTCAATTCAAATTAGTTAATGCTAACAAGTATTTTACTTATTGAAACAAAAATATATATTTTAACAAATAAATAAATGTTCTTTAGGAAAAAAAAAAAAAAAAAAAAGGCCAAAAAAAGCCGTTGACAAAGCAGTCATATTTTAGAATCCCAAAATGAACGTGAAGGGCGTAGACTCTGTTTTTTCCACCGAGTCAAAAAGCCAAGCCGGTTCGACCGAACCGGTCAACATGGGCGGCTCGACCGCCCTCATATTCTTCCCAACCATTCTCCACTTCTTCTTCTTCTTCCAACCAATTATGTTTGTTAGGAACAAAGCTAAGAGGTAGACACTATTAAGCAACAATTTTTATTCCATTTCCTTCAAAAAATTTTAAAAAATAAAATAAAAACACGTCTTTTTACTGACTTTTTTTTTCGCACAAGAAAAAGAAAAGTTTGAGAACACAAATAACAACACGTTCAACTTTGTCATATTTTGAACATTCAGAGTCATTCTTTAATTCTTTCTTTTTTTTTCTTTTCATTTTTTGTTCTTCATGAAAAAAGTTTAGCAGGTGAGAAAACAAGAGAAACAAGAAAAATAAATAAAGCTTTTGCAGAATTAAGAAGAAGAAAAGGTGGAGGAACAAGAAGAAGAAGAAGAAGAAGAGAAAAGCTTGGCAAAAGCATACCATGTCTAATGAGAAAAGCAGTGATTCCTTACTAATGGTGGTCCTTTTCTTATTCTTCTTCTCCTTCTCATTCCTAATTACAGGTACCAATCAAAACCCATTTCCCAAAAAACAAAACAAAGTTTTCTTCTTTAATATCTTTCTGTTTTCAAGCTCAAATCTTTAACAAAAACGTTAATGGCCAATTGGCTATCTTTAATTTTCAGTTTTTAATTCATTGTTCACTTTTTTTTTAATATTATTTATTCCGAAAACCAAGATGTTTGGAACAAGTATTAGAATCTTTTTCTTTGTGGGTGTTTTTCGAGGATGATTCTGTTAACTGAGTTTCTCTCTCTTCCTCTGTATTTCTTTAGGTAGTATTTCAGTTGGAGATTCGATTGACACAGATAGAGAAGTTCTAATAAAACTGAAAGAGTTTCTCCAAAAGCACAACCAAGTGAATCAAGGGAAATATTCAGAGTGGAATTTGCAGACCTCAAATCCATGTCAATGGCACGGAATAACTTGTGGTGTAAACAACAGCAGAGTTACCGGGCTTTTTCTCAACGATAGCTCCATAACTGGGCCCATTTTCACCAACTTCTCATCCCTCACTGCCCTGACACACCTCGACCTCTCCGGGAACACTCTCGGCGGAGCGATTCCCGACGATTTGCGCCGCGCTCGGAGCCTCAAACACCTCAATATCTCCCACAACATCATTGACGGTGAGCTTAACTTATCTGGGTTGGACCAGTTGGAAGTGCTTGATTTGTCTGTTAATAGGATTAGGGGAGAAATTCGGTCGAGTTTTCCTTCGATTTGTGATGATCTAGTCGTCGCGAATTTTTCGTCGAATAACTTCACCGGCGGCATTGATGGATACTTTGATGAGTGCTTGAATTTGAAGTACTTGGATTTGAGCTCAAACAAGTTTAGTGGGGGACTATGGGAGGGGTTTTCGAGGCTTGTCGAGTTTTCAATCTCCGAAAACTCGATTACGGGCAACCTTTCGAGTTCTATGTTCGCACCGAATTGTAGCTTACAGGTTCTAGACCTCTCAGAGAATGAGTTTGGTGGCGAGGTCCCAGGGGAGATTTCGAATTGCCGGGATTTGGCCATTTTGCATCTGTGGGGAAACAGTTTCACCGGAAAAATCCCGTCCAAGATCGGGACCATCTCGAGCCTAGAAGGTCTGTTCTTGGGTGACAACAATTTTTCTGGGGAAATTCCAGAAACCCTTTTGGAGTTGAAAAGATTGACCTTCTTGGACTTGAGCAAGAACAGATTTAGAGGGGACATACAGAAGATTTTCGGAAACTTTACGCAAGTTAAGTTTCTGGTTTTGCATAGTAATTATTATAGAGGTGGGATAAACTCTTCAGGAATTCTAAAGCTCCCCAATGTCACCAGATTAGACCTTAGTTTCAACAACTTTTCAGGTCCTTTACCAGTTGAGATATCAGAAATGCCAAGCTTGGAATTCTTATTCCTTGCCAACAATCAGTTCAACGGCACAATCCCAATGGAGTTTGGAAACTGTCCAAAACTCCAAGCATTGGACCTCTCATTCAACAAGTTAACTGGGCCAATCCCTTCCACTTTAGGAAAACTAAACTCTCTCTTGTGGTTGATGCTTGCAAACAATTCACTCGCAGGAAAAATCCCCAAAGAGTTAGGAAACTGCTCTAGCCTGTTATGGCTTAACCTTGCCAACAACAACCTCTCTGGGGAAATGCCTTCTGAACTGACCAACATCGGGAACAACCCCACCCCGACTTTCGAGCTGAATAAGAGGAAGAACGAGAGGATTATTGCCGGCTCCGGGGAATGTTTAGCAATGAAAAGGTGGATTCCTGCAGACTACCCTCCATTCAGTTTTGTGTACACTATTCTCACAAGGAAGAGCTGTAGGAGCATATGGGATAGATTGCTAAAGGGTGTTGGGCTTTTCTCTATTTGTATTGCTGGTACATCAGTGAGAACACTCCAAGTGTCTGGTTATGTTCAACTCAGTGGGAATCAATTAACTGGTGAGCTCTCTTCGGATATTGGAAAAATGCATAATTTCAGTATGGTGCATTTGGGCTACAATAAGTTCAGTGGGAAACTCCCGAAAGAGATCGCGAATTTGCCGCTCGCCGTCATCAACATCACAAGGAACAACTTCTCTGGTGAAATTCCTAAAGAGATTGGGGAACTTAGTTGCTTGCAGAATCTTGATTTGTCCTATAATAACTTCTCTGGTGACTTCCCAACTAGCTTGAACAACTTGACTGAGCTAAGCAAGTTCAATATCTCATACAATCCACTAATCTCTGGTACAGTTCCAACTACTGGGCAATTATCAACTTTTGACAAAGATTCTTACCTTGGTAATCCACTCTTGGTGCTTCCAAAGTTCATTGGAAACTCCTCAGATTCTTCAAATAAGACAAGTGGAGAGTCCAAAGGGTCTTCAAAGCTCTCTCCGTCCTTGGTGTTTCTAGTCCTTGTTTTTGTTTTCTTAATATGTGGAGTTTTGACAATGATAATCTTCTCAATGGGAAAAGGTCCTGTTGAGTCAGAAGGGTATCTATTTCCGGAGACAAAACACCAGTGTGAGCTTGCCTCGAGCTCTGGCTGCTCGTCGCCGTGGTTATCAGGCACGGTTAAGGTCATTCGCCTTGATAAAACAGCTTTCACACATGCTGACATCTTGAAAGCCACAGGCAACTTCTCTGAGAGCTGGATCATTGGCAAGGGCGGGTTTGGGACAGTCTACCGGGGAGTTCTACCAGACGGGAGAGAAGTGGCGGTGAAGAAGCTGCAGAGAGAAGGAATAGAAGGCGAAAAGGAGTTTCGAGCTGAAATGGAGGTCCTAAGTGGGAATGGCTTTGGTTGGCCTCATCCAAACCTTGTCACACTCTATGGATGGTGTCTAGACGGCTTGGAGAAAATTCTTGTCTATGAATACATGGAAGGAGGAAGCTTAGAAGACTTGATACCAAACAGAACAAGACTAACTTGGAAAAGGCGAATAGATGCCGCCATTGATGTTGCCAGAGCCTTGGTTTTTCTTCACCATGAGTGTTACCCCGCAATAGTCCACCGCGATGTGAAGGCGAGCAATGTCCTGCTTGATAAGAATGGCAAGGCCAGAGTCACTGACTTTGGCCTGGCCAGATTTGTCGACGTTGGTGACAGCCATGTCAGCACAATGGTGGCAGGAACCATCGGCTATGTGGCGCCCGAGTATGGCCAGACATGGCAGGCCACCACGAAAGGCGATGTGTACAGTTATGGCGTGTTGTTAATGGAGCTGGCCACAGGAAGGCGGGCAGTGGATGGAGGGGAGGAGTGCTTAGTGGAATGGGCCAGGCGGGTGGTGGGGAGCGGTCGGGGAGGGTTTAATAGGGCGGTGATACCGGTGTCGGTGATGGGGTCGAGGTTGTTTCTGCTTGAGGGGGCAGAGGAGATGTGTGAGTTGCTGAGGATTGGCATAAGGTGCACTGCTGAGATGCCTCAGGCTAGGCCTAATATGAAGGGGGTTTTGGTTATGCTAGTGAAGCTTGTGTCCAAAAGCCAAGAAGATTTCAATTCTAGTGGTGGTTCTCCTCCTGCTCCATTGTGATGATAACTAGGATTTTTTTTATAGGATTTTTCATGTTTATACATAGTTACATACAAAATTATAGCAGTAAAATGTTGCTGCCCATTCTTATTGTATACAGTCCATTCATCATTGAATAAAGTATAAACAGTTTACTCGGTTTGTTGATGAAATAAGAGCAGTTTTGTTGTGGTTGAATCTTGGTCTTATTATGGGTTTTAGTTAGCATGTTTTTTTTTCTCATTCAAGAACAAATGGTGGCATTTTTTCTGGTTGTGAATTTGTGTTTATGGTTTTCAAAGAGCCAAGGAGATGTTGGTTCTTCAGCATAAGACATTATTGTATTTTCTTCTTCAGAATTGAATCAAGAAACCACTGAATTTAACATGTTTTTGTAAACTTTAATTTTATACGGTGAAAAATGTTCAATGAAATGTTTACCAATAGAAAGCAGGCTTTAAATTTCAAGCTACTTCAGGGAAAAACCAATTGCCACCGCCCACAATACTAGAACATGGTATTATTTTCCATTAGAAAAAATACTTGGTAATCACTATTTAGTTTTTGACCCCACGAAGTTCTGTCCAATCATAATTACCATATGATAACAAATGGATCCCACATTGTTACATGTTATTGAACTCAATTGAAGTAAAATAGGAGCTTTTTAACTGTAATGAGAAAAAATGAAAGAAAAAAGTACTCAATTTATGCACTGCTCTATAGCTTCAAAATAAAAAGGATATATTTCTTTTCCACTATGATTGGAAGAAAAAAAAAAGGGATTTCTTTGCAGTGCTGCAATGTCCTTCCACATAATATCAAAGAACTATTCACAATGCTCTGAAATTGACAAAAAAAATGAAGAATAAGAAAACTAATCATGCCCTTTTTCATAGGCATTATCACATTAAAAAAAAAAAAAAAAGATGGACATGGAAAAAGTTGTGACAATGATATTTGCAAAGGTTATTATACTTGTTCAAAATTGAGTTCAACTTATATATATAATTGTCGGTACCGGTTTGAGTCTTTTAATATTTTGTAAGACAATATAAATAATGCAGAGACATAAAATAAAAGAACATGAGAAAAATGGTATCGCGGTTCGGTCACAACCTACTCCGCGGGGCCACGCCCAGATGATGAACAATCCACTAAAAACTCTTTTACAATTCAATTGGACTTAATCTACCCGAGACTCCCTCTCTAAGAAGACGCATATGAACTTGCAATTTCCCAATTAACTTGAACAGTGATAACTCCATGAAATGGAGTTATTTAGCCTCTTTTGTGGATTAAAAAGTATACTTGTTCTTGATAATTTATTTAGTTTTTAATACTTTTACCTTATTTTTATTTCATTTTATTTTATTTGGAATTAATTTTATTTTTAGTTTGTTTTAGGTATTTTTATTTTATTTTATTTTATTTTTATTCAGTTTCCTTTCAAAATAATTATTTTCCTCATTATGTAATTTAATTTTGGTGATAGGTGGGCTTAAATTATTACCTAGAGGCTTTGAGAAAGCATTGTCGTTTTGGAGGCTAGCAATAACTTGTCGTTTTGGAATTTTCAAGGAAATTCTAGTCAGCATTGCTCTGCCAAGCCAGCTAGACCAGATTCACATGTTGCTGACAGCTGGGCCTGAGCTGGTAGAATGGGCTGATTTAACCGTGAAGGGTGCTGATTTAGCTGCTCATTGGAGGCTTTCTTAGGGGTTGCCACGTGGAATTAGGGTACAATAAGTACCTGCAGCTGAAAGAGAAGAAGGCGTCCTTGGTCATATTTTGTAACGCAGAGGCGGCTGAACTTGGAAAAGGAAACCACCTCCATTTCTCTGATCAAGTACCAGCTCCAGTACTGGAAAGAAGAAGAAGGAAACGTCACAGGGTGTTGAACGTAAAGGAGTTTTTCTTACTCTCATTTCTCTGTTTTACTTTGTTAAAGAATATTTACGTTCCTTTATAAATTTGAACTCAAATCCATATATATATATATATATATATCTATGAGATTATGATTTGTTGGCTGAGGTTGTTGATTTGTTAAATATTAAGTTGCTAGTTGATGTTGAATGGATTTGATGATTATTTCTCTGTTTATTCAAGTGAGCTGAATTTGTGCCTTAACTGTGATTGGGAAACCATAAGAGGGGAGTATAGCTTTGATTAGATCTGGGAAGATTTAGTTGAGTGGACACAGCTTGAATAGTGCAGGTTCTTAGATCTTGTTTTAGATTTTTGATTCACATGATATAGGAATATATTGTGTCTTACATAACCATATGATTTAGAGCTTCATTCTCTGATTTTAGAGTCTAGATTTACAAAGGGATTTGTGGGATTTAGCTTTAAGATCAGTAGATAGAGGATTGGAAAATCCCTGGTTTAGTAAATCTGGTTAACAGGAAGTAGTCGTTGCTGTCCGTTGCTGCAGCATCGCGCAGCATTGTTAGGAGACAATTTAGCAATTGTGAGCCACGAACAGTGACATTGGCCAATTTTATTTGCACATTTTGTTATTAATTAGTTTTATCTTTGTTGTTCATTTTCTTACAGTCAAATTATTATTAGTTTTTAACATCTTAAAATCAACTTTAGTTTTCTTCTTAAAAACTTGAATAGAATTAACTTAGCAACTTGATTTCAAAAACACGCAATCCCTGTGGGACGATACTTGGTTATTCATCATTTTACTACTTGTTGACTCGTGCACTTGCGAGATTCTAGATTCACAATTTTAGGCAACAAACAGTGAGATCCCCTCGACTTTTTAACATTGGAATCCCTCTAACTAATTTTTTTTTTTTTTTCTGAAAAACACTCAAATCATCTCTCTGAATACAAGTGCTCACCCATGTCTCACAACCCAGAAAAACTGATCACCACAATCTACGAAGACTCAAGGGACACTTTGAATAAATAAGCAAAGTGTGAATAGCTTGACACATCTTCAATTAATTCGCTGAACCAAATTTGTTGCAGATCCTTGTTGCAACAATAACTGCAACATAACTGTCAGAATCAGCTCTCCCAAAACCAGTCCGAGAATCAATCTTCTTAAAACCTGAAATCTTTCCGAAACTGATATGCGAATCTCGACACATTCCTATGGGACAGAGGAAGATCATCCAGCTACGAAAACTCAATTAAATATCAATCAAATCACCAATTATCAATTTACCATCTTTAGATCAATAGTTGACTTTCCAAAACATAAACTATATTAAGTTTCCAGATCTTGCAGAAACCTTCCATTTCTCACAAATCTTCTAGGATACTTTCTTTCTTCTATTAATCCCCAATCTTTTAGGATACTTCCTTCCAAAAACTGATTTTTATCGAGAAAAGAACATTCCACATTTGAAGCAATCAAGTAACAAAAAACACATCTGATCTTCTCCATAAACGCCAGTTGCCAAAAATACCTATTTTTGAATTTTTACAACCAATGCCAACAAATTGCCAACTAAAGTCCTAACAATCTCCCCCTTTGGCATTTTGTGGCAAAACTAACACAAGTTCCTATTAACAATAAAGATTTGAAAACTATCAGAAAAGTACAATGTTCTCCCCCTTTTGACAAAAATAAGCCAAAATAAAAATAAAAATAAGATTTAAAAAAAACTTCTAAAAACTGCTGTCGCAGAAAGTGTTGTAACACCTGATGGAACACTCTGTGCAACATTTTCCTGCAGATCACGTTCCAATTCATTGATTTCTGCAAATCGCTCCCCCTGAATCCTCCACGAGTCTTACTCTCTATGAATATGGTATTCTCCCATGCATATTGCTTTTATCACCTATTAAAAGTTTGAAGTGACCGTTATCACAACACTCAGAGTTAGTAGTACATGCTTTAAAAGAAGTATAAGCCCCATGACACCTTAAATCAGATTTCCTTACCCACACACGTCTAGAAAATTTATTTTACACATCAATCTTTGCTTTAGGTGTCCTTGTGACTGCGGAATTTAGTGGATTAATGATCATACCTCTTTTTAAAGCATTAAAGTATTTGTAACATCTAGCTCTAATGTGGTCAGGCAAATTACAATAGTGACATATAGGAATAAACATGTCTGTTGCTTGTCTTGTTACAACAGGCTTTGCAACAAACTTCTTGTCTGATCTTATCTGAGATTTCTTAAAGGACTGCATCATAGTACTGGTGGCTCCTTTCACAAAGAGAGTCTTCCCAGAAATTTCTTGACCCTTATAGCCAAGGCCTGAATGATCACCACAAGTTTTTTGTTGTGAGAGTAAGTGATCCAATATTGTTGTGCCCGAGTTTAGCATCCTTAAATTCTTCTGGGTCTGCTCCAATTCGAGTATGGTCTCAGCTAGCATCCTTAATTCGCTAAACCAAATCTGTTGCAGATCCTTGTTGCAACAATAACTGCAACATAGCTGTCAAAATTGGCTCTCCCAAAACCAGTCCGAGAATCAATCTTCTTAAAACATGAAATCTTTCTGGAACTAATATACGAATCTGGACACATTCTTAGGAGACAGAGGAAGATCATCCCGCTACGAAAACTCAATCAAATCACCAATTATCAATTTACCATCTTTGGATCAATAGTTGACTTTTAAAAAACAGAAACTATATTAAGTTTCCAGATCTGGCAAAAACCTTCCATTTCTCACAAATCTTCTAGGATACTTCCTTTCTTTTATTAATCCCCAATCTTTTAGGATACTTCCTTCTAAAAACTAATTTCTATCAAGAAAAGAATATTCCATATTTGAAGTAATCAAGCAACTAAAAACACATCTGATCTTCTCCATAAACGCTAATTGCCAAAAATACATGTTTTTGAATTTTTACAACCAATGTCAACAAATTAATGACTAAAATCCTAACAATAATAATGACCAATGCCCCCGCTAATTTATACATCAATTAAGATTCATTTCAATAGGGAGAGCCCGCTATTAAACTGAATGGCTAATATAATAATGATAGCTCTTACTACTCCCCGCTCACCAAAACATAATAGCATTTGAAATTGATTTCAGAAATGAAGAAAGTACTATAAAAAATAAAAATAAAAAACAGAAAAATACTTGCTTTTCAGCTTGGGCGTTAGTCACACTCACACAATGTGCATGGCTTGAGAAGTGAGTACAATATTGCTTCCAAAGTGTAGCAACTATGGAACATAATTTTCCCACAAATAATAAAACAGTGGATATCTCACTGTACTTGGGGTCTCTTTTTTTTTTTTTTTTTTGTGGAGAATAGTCACATGAAGAGAGAGAAAAAAAAAACACAATAGGAGAATATCTATAGTAGAATTTATCTTTTTTATAAACTGTTATTTTAATTATTAGATTAAATTTATAATAATATACTATGTAGTTAAACCGGTTTTTTTTATCTTATATTATAAACTTTTAACATAAACACTTACAAATGTAATTATTAAAAATTTAATCTAATAATTAAAATAACGATTTTTTATCTATAGTTAAAAAGAATAGGTTCTACAGGGAGGTAAAAGGATTAAAGAGAGACATGAAGAGCCGCCTAGAGTACCATCCACTTTAATAAAATTGGTTCAACTGCTGCTTCATGTGAATTGACATTAACACCCCTGTTCTTTTACATTATTACCAAATTTAGCCCTGAAATCGCCAAAATAGTAATGATCCGTTCTGGGACTCGTCCTTTGAACGGCCATCTTGCCATCCCCCCTCTCTCCCTCTCTCTCTCTCTCTCTCTCTCTCTCTCTCTCACAGACATGCCTTTTTCTGCTTAAACTCTAGTTATTTCTAAAAAAAATAAATAAATAATAAAAAAAGAGTTAAGGTGAGCCTTCGTATCTGCAATCCCTTTCTTCTTCCTTTTTTTTTTTTTTTTTGCATTTGATTATACTTTTGGTGACTTCTTTACTATTCAAGCTTAATGTGGGAAGTTAAAATATGGGCTTTCTATCTTTTCTTCTTTCTTGTCCAAGTTTGCATTTTTCTACTTGAATAAGCTTAGTTTTCAGCTCCTGAGTGATTATATTCATTTTTAGCTAAGCGATAATTGTTGGGTTGGCTGTTATTTAGGCTAGTCTTTCCTGTTAAAAAACAAAAAAAAAAAAAAAAAAAAAAAAAAAAAAAGAAGAAGAAGAAGAAAGAAAGTTGGCTAGAGCCCTCTGAAGTGAAATTATCAAGTTGGATCTTTTGAATGCAATGTCAATTACTGTTATATGACTATACCATATTTTATTTTATTTTTTGTGCGTTTAGTAAAATGTAAAGCTTATACTTAATAATGTCTCTAAATAAGTCTTTTTGCCTCTAATTAGGAGATATCTACATACTTTTTCTAATAGCCAGACACATGCATTAACAGTATGAGGCGCTACCGTAGAAAGACCCTCAAAATAAGTCTGTTTGGTAAGGGTAGAAAAGGGAAACATGTCTGTGAATAGTAGGATATTTTTCTGTTAGCGTGCAATGAATCCTTATTAAGTTATAATATTTCTTTCTTTCCTTTTCCATGCCATTATTTTTCATCAAAGAAGAATGTTGTTTTAAGCTAATATTCTTGAAAATGTATTGCCTAATTAGTATGTGAAATAATGCAGAACTTTAGCAAGAAGCAAGAGAAATGGCAGATAAGTGGGATGGAGATACAATGCCTGTGGAGCATGCAATACAAAGAGAGCTTGCATATAGGAGGAAATTAGCATTACAGTTAAAACCAGATGATGACTTCCTGAAAGATCTTTTTCCTTTGCAGGTAACTTTTTTTCCCTCTTTTTCTTTAGCAGATTGTTTCTTGATTCTTGATCATTGTGATGCATGTGGTGCTCTCTAAATACATTAGGCCTAGCGTTGGAGCGAGAATGAGGGCATAACATGAAATATGAAAGAGATAAATGGGGTTATAGTCGAAATATCTTTTATTAAATGGGGCCAAATTATAATTTTTTTATTCAGCGAGGCAACGATTATGATTTTCATAATTAGGTTTGGACATAGTTACATTTTGTAAGAAAATTTTAAAAATGTGTGCCCTCACTAAAAAATAGAACACGTCTCAACCACTGATTAGGTCCCACTTGATAAAATCTTTACATTTCGATCTCAAAAGTGAAATGTAGAGTGAAGATCTTCTCAAAAACATTGCCCAACAGAAATCATTCTTTTGACTCATTAAAACAAAAAAGGTCACAAATCCCAGCATTAAGCAGCTAAGCCTTAGCTTTATCAGTGTTTCTTATGACTCAAGATTTGCATCAAATAATCAAATGCCATGATTTCCTTTACCAGGTGCAATCTTCAACTTCCAGTCCCATTTCAGAGCCCCCAAGTTCAAGTGATATTTCATCAGAATCAAAGAGAAAAGAACCCCCTAATACTACTATCCTTCAAACTCTGCCAATAGTTAAAAACCAAGAATCTTTTCATGGAAATCCCATGCCTGAAAGGACTCCAAATGATCATAGACTACATTGCGGGCTCTGCAATGTGGTGTGCTCAAGTGGCTTCAATCTTGAGCAGCACGTCAATGGCCAGAAGAACCGGGCTAAACTGCAAGAATTGCGTGAGCATCCAAGTTCAAGTACTATTTTATCAGGAACAAAGAGAAAAGAGCCTGATAGTATCTCTCAAACTCTGCCCCTAATTCCGATACCTTTTCATGGGAATCCCGGGGTTGAAGGTACTTCAGCAGATCATAGACTACATTGCAAGCTCTGCAATGTGGTGTGCTCAAGTGGCTTCAATCATGTGCAGCACGTGAATGGCCAGAAGCACCGGGCTAAACTGCAAGAATTGCGTGAGCATCCAAGTTCAAGTACTATTTTATCAGGAACAAAGAGAAAAGAACCTGGTAGTATCTCTCAAACTCTGCCCCTAATTCCGATACCCTTTCATGGGAATCCCGGGGTTGAAGGTACTTCAGCAGATCATAGATTACATTGCGAGCTCTGCAATGTGATGTGCTCAAGTGGCTTCAATTTTGAGCAGCACATGAATGGCCAGAAGCACCAGGCTAAACTGCAAGAATTGGCTAACGGGCGACGACGGTGGTGGTGTGAGGTTTGCAAGATTCCATGCATGAATGAGGATTTGCTGAAGATGCACTTGGAAGGAAGGAAGCACAAGGCTAGGCTTCTAGAATTGAACTTGAGTGCGGCAAAGGGCGGGGCAGAGCTTGTACTGCAAATTTTGTCGCATTTGGTGCATTGATGAGCTCTCTTTCAAGCAGCATCTTGAAGGGAAAAAACACAAACTTCTGCTTTATGAGAACTTTCCCAAAGAAAAAGAGGCTGCCATGGCAAAACACTTGGCCTGGGAGTACCAGAGTGATAGGTGATATCTTGAAAAGTACTCAAAAAGACAACTAAAAAGTTTGTTTAGTGCATAATTCTAAAGTTGTTGGTGAATTTTTTTCCTCTCTCATAGACATAGAGAATTTGACCGAGCTATGTAAATTTTTGTCTTATCTGTTTTTGTGTTATTTTTGCTTTAATTTATTTTTCTACTGCATAGGTATATAAGAATATGTTTTTCCGGCCCCAACACCTGCACCCATATCATGAGCTTGACTAGGCACCTCATACTCCACTTCTGTCTTTGAAACAATAAAAAGGCCATTCTTGCCAAGGAAGAGCTCTGCAATGAAAAAAAAATGCCGTACACCGTCGGCAATAAGTTGGCACATTTTCGTTATGACATCAAAATAAAACTTAGGTCTAGCTCGGATATATCAACTAGGAGGTCATTTTTTTATCACTTTTTTTTTATTATTTTTTGTATTCATTATTTATCACTAGAATCTATTACATGATACATTATTATTTATGTATCATTTAAATAAAAAATGAGATAGTAGAGTTTTACATATCAAATAATGAATATTAAAAGTGACCGAAAGAGTGACACTGACATTTCTCGTTAGTTAACAGTACAACAACACCATTTGAGATCACATTCAAACCACTCAAGAATGATGTTTCAAGTTACAACCTTTGGTTGTTCCACAATCATTTCTAATTAGTCCTATCAACCTTTGCATTTTGTAATGGACCTGGGCTTTGTGGTCATAATCAACTGCCTCTCAAAGCCGGTCCACTTTTCCAGGCTGCTCCAATTATTATGGTCATCTCCAAGTTAGTAACGTCAATGGACAAATCATTTCTCCCTTCCACAACCTAGAAAACATAATACGTCTCGGGAATTGAAGAACCCTAATATCTACTATCTGAGAATAATAAGAAAAACGAGAAGAAGACTAAAATAAACAACACACGCACACAAAATTTACGGTGATTCTTCACTCTTAAATATAAGTGGACGCTACATAATACCACTACAACAAGAGGAAGAAGTACACTGTAAAATTGAGTCAATATGCATCTCTTATCTTTCCACGTCTTTTTACAAAAATAACTACCCTAGAAGTTCCTTACATATCACGATAATTAAATCAAATCAATACATTTACGTAAAATATCATAATTAAACTCCACATAATAGAATCCATACTGAATAATACTATTTCCTTCCTATATCCATTCTTCTTCAAATTTTGTTGCCTTTTCATTAGGCAATTCTTGCCTCTAGGGGTCAAATGGGCTTTTTAGTTTTCACTTTGAGTCTTTTTTGGTTGTAAAGATGGAATTAAAAAAGTGGGATCTTAACAATTGAGAAGATATTTGCTCTGGAATTTTTACTTGGCTTTATCCTTTTCCCTTCCATGAATATTATGGAGCTAGAAATTACCAAATGAACTAATTTTAAAAGAAACTTCTCTCCCTTCTGTTGTGAGGAGTAATTCCTGAGAAAACGACATTCGTTTCGCTATTTAGGAACTTACCAAAACGCAGCGTAGTATTTAGAATGACCTCTCATACTGTGACACGTGGAGAGAATTCTAGAAGATCCTCAGACCTTCTCTTCTTCACTCGGGACATTTGAAGATTCATATAATTCTTTTTAGGGTTACTCAGGAAAAAGAGGGTTTGAGAGAAAAAGAGGCGAGAGAGTACTCTTGTGTATTGCACGGTGAGAGAAACACATTTTCTGTATTGAGAGATCTGAGAGATAGTGTTTGGGAGCTGAGAAAACCTGGGTAAAGGGGTTCCTTTACTCACTGGGTATTTTTTCTGTATCGCACTAGTTGGTGATTTCTCTAGGTGTTTCTGGGTCTCATTTATTCTTGTAATCTCTGAGTGATTCCTACGTGAGGGTGTAATCGGATCTTAATAGTGGAAGGGTTTCTCGCAAGTGAGCCCAACGGAGATGTAGGATTCGTTGAATCCGAACCTCGGTAAAATCTTTCTATGTTCTTTCTTTTAAAGCATTCTTGTGTGAATCTTTGAGCCAGTGTTAGGATCTTTTTAACACCTTCTAAACATTCACTGCAAGAACATATTATTAAATTTGTTAGCTTGTAAGATAGAGATTGCAGAAGCTTCTGACGTGCTATTTCTGGATAAGATTCATCAAGGATGATGTTCTAAAATGTTTTTTATTCTATACTAACCCTGTAATCATGGTGATCCCCAAGTTGGTTCCAGGAGGGACACATTGCTTAATGCTTATCTCTTTCATATAGCCTAATAGGGCTAGCGTCTATTACCTAGAATCTAGTCAAGGCTCCATATTTCAAAATAATAATAATAATAATATGGGTTAGTTTTCAGCTCACCTTTATAATTTCCTGAAACATTTTGAATATGGGATTTTTTTTTTTTTTTAGTTTGCAGAATCCAAAGAGAATGTGATCAGTTATAATATTCAAAGAGGCTCTTTGAGTATGCAATGAAAGCGGAACAAGGGAAAGCAAGCACGTCCTTTCTTTTTCTGAAAATGCTTCTAAAATTGGTTATAGATGGGAACAAAGCTCATTATCCTCTTTTGGCTAGATTTTGATCAAAAGTTGGCAAAGTTGTGGTACCTTTTAGTTATAGAGAGCCTCATTGTGTGCAAGAAAGTTTTTTGGCCTCCTTGTCTTTCTAGCCAAATTAAAGAGTTCCTACAGGACTAATACTAGTGCAAGAGGCTGGTTGGCCAGTGACCACCAGAAAGTTTTAATTGGGGTCATGATGTTCCCCGAAAAAACAGAAGAATGAAAAGAAAAACGTTAGGCACAAGTTGGATTTGCCACCTCCAATTCCAAATAACATACGCAAAGTCATAAAGTGCTCGGAATCTTTAGCCAAGAGTGCCTAGGTTTGAGTCATCCCACCACCACAGTGAGCATGCTCATACAACACCTAGTACTGCTGGAGGGGGGGAACCTTCTCCGGTAGGCGGACTTACCGGTAGGGTTAGTTTTTTACTGTTAAATATGATTAAAATCACATCAGATTAAAAAAGTATATAGAACTGAGAGTTTTTAATACAGATTTAATAGTTAAAAAGTAAAAAATTACCGGTGGTTTATTTTTGCAGTCCTAAAAAAAAACTCTCTTCAAAATATATTAAAAGATCGGGAAGAAAAAATACTAAAATGGAAGGTCTTCCTAGCCTTTTTCCACTTTAATTGTATTTTTAGGTTGAAATGACATAAAAGGATATTTCATGTCCTACAAAACGCCTTGAGATACACACATAATATTTTCGAATAAAGGCAAATATGGCCGTGTTTTGAGCTATTTTTTTAGTAAGTGATTGAAGTTTTATAAAATTAGGGAAATAGTTGCTTATCTATGGTAAAACGTGATAAATTAAAGGTAGTCTGATTTATCAATCATTGGCTTGATCATTTATCACTGATTGAGCAATATTAATAAATCAATTTCAATCCATAATTTGTTAGTTTATCAGTAATAAACCATTAATAAATCAAATCCGGTTTATCAGAGATCAACCATGGTAAATTAGCGTTTAACCACCACAGAAAGGCCATTTTCCTTAAAAATAAAATAAAATAAAAGTTATGGCTATAAATTTAAAAATGGCGACCAAAATCGGACATCCACCTGACTTTCTCTAATACTTTCTTGAATTGCAGAATACCCTAATAGAATTATAACACATTAAAGTATCAATTTGGTAAATTGGAAAACTACAAAGTACCAGAATGATCATTCTCAAAAACAAATGTTAAATTGTCCTTTAAGAACATATTTGGTACACCGTATAAGCACTTTGTATTATATTTTTTTTAATAATAATACAATGTTTGGTGACATTTATACATTATATAATTTAAAATGAGATTCAAAATTAATACTATACGAAGTATGATATCTAATACGAAAAAAAAAACTCATGTACTAGATCGTATTATGCAATTTAACTTAAAATACTATATTAAAACATATAAAATATTTCACAAATATTAAGGTTCGGGGTTGGGTTTTGGGACCGACGTTAGGGTCGAGTTTCGGGACCAGAATGATGCGGAGTTTATATTTTTTAGAAATTATATTTTGACTCCTAAACTTTTTAAAAATTATATTTTGATCCCTAAACTTTTAAAAAATTATGTTTTGACCCTTCACTTTTTCAAGAAATATTTTTTTGCCCCTTAATTTTTTTGAACATTTCAATTTGACCCCATTTTTAATTTTTTTTGCAAAAAAAATCCTTATATAGCAACTTTACTTTCTCTCTTGTTTCCTCTAAATATTGGGTTCGAGTTGAGATTAGAGTCAAATTAGGTTTTAATTATGCCTAAATTTTATATTATTATAAACTAATACGTAAATAGATTACAATTATAAAAATTGTATAGTGTTTAATAAAACCACAAACCAAACACCGTATTATATAAAAATTCTACAATACAATATAATATTATGTGATATAATACAATATGGTGCACCAAATATATCTTAAAAGAGAGAGTTAAAAGAAGGGAAGGGGGGGTCAATTGAAGATAGTCAAAGACTAAATGAACGTTGAGTTTCTGATTTGCATGTGTTTTCAGGTTGTGTTGTGCACTTGTCCCTTTTATGTCATAGAGATAAAGAATATGCGCACCATCTTACCATGATGAGGAATAATGCTCTAATTGCCACAAAACCACACAGGTGGAAAGAAGATGTTAGGCTGCAAAAGAAAATTTGGCATTTGGAAATGCGTATAAATCATCTTTGGAATGCCCGACAGGGGTGTCATAATGGCCATGAAACAGATTCAGGAGTGTAAGTTTGCCAATTTAACCAGAGAGTATATATGACTGATAGCAACATTGGAAAAATCCTTTTTTTTTTTTTTTTAAATTTTGTTTTGACCCTTTCGAGATCTTGACAAAAGGGTAACTCTAAATTATACAGTTTTAATCTATGCCAATTATTTGCACACGTAGATGCATATATAGATATATGTAGAGCACTTCTAAACAGTCCAATGGGTCCTAGTCTCACCAGGCGTAACTTGGTGAGGCCCACTAATAGAGTCCACGTAAATTCCACAACTGAGCCCTACTAATTTATCTGGTGAGGCTACGGCGCTATCCAGCTGTGTGTGTGTATATATATAAATTATACGCGTGTGTATGTGTGTGTAATGAGGTAGGACAAAGAGGGCACAGCCTACCGGCACCTAAGTAGGTGCAGGCCAACATGCAACGCATATGAGAATGCAGGTCAGTGAAAAATGCTCAATTAATTAGGAAATCGTCTAAGGCATGCCAAGTTTCCAGAACATTCAAAGAAAAAGAATAAAGAACACGCTGAGAAATAACATTATATATACAAGCCATATAGAAGACATGAATTCTTTTATATTGATTCCATGATAATAGATCCCTCAGCTTGTCCATATGGGATTAGCATATTTTTGGTTGCTCATATAGCACCGCTAGTCCAATGATGATTCTTTTATGTTTTTTGTATTGATTCCCCCAAACACAAAATCTTTGGAGGATTCTCAAGGAATAAATGGAAAAAAAAACTCTGTCAAAAAATCTACCATTTTATCATAACCCTAAAGAGCATCGCTAGATTCTAGTAAAGGATTTAAGACTAGATTCTATAAAGAAGGATAAATTGAGCTATGAGCAAATTTCAAGGAAAAAAAAAAAAAATTCATGTGGTGGGTTGGTGATTTCAAGTCATGGACGAAAAGATGGAGACATCTTTGGCATACCTCACATGATTAATGTTTTGAGGGAACTTTCAAGTGCCCCCCACTAGACCCAAATGTCCAATTAAATTTCAAAAATAAAATATTTAACAGAAATAAAAAATAATAAAAATAAAAATATCCCATCAAAATCCCTCCCCCTTTCTCTCTCTCCATTTCCTTTAAATTTGGTCATGCACAACACAAGATGAGGCACAACTTACTTTAAGGAGAGATGGAGAAGTCTTGTGAGTGTCCAACAAGAACTCCCAAAGACGTTTCACTTCAAGAGCTCAGAGACAGGCTTGCTGAGTTTGCTGAAGTCAGAGGATGGGAACAATACCACAGTCCAAGGAATCTCCTTCTAGCACTTGTAATAAGCCTCAAACAAACCGCTCATTTCTTCTTCTTTCTTTATTATTTTTTTTAATAATACGTTGTTAAGAAGAAATAAAATCACCGGGATTCAAATCTTGAATCACACACTCACGCACTAAACCAATTTGAGCTAGTCTTTAGTGGCTTCTTGTTCTTTTGTGATTATCTTTTCATGGTCAATATCTTATGTCGCATTGGTTTTAGGTTGGAGAAGTTGGAGAACTCTCTGAGATCTTCCAATGGAAAGGTGAAGTTGCAAAAGGACTTCCTAATTGGACTTCTGATGACAAGGAACACCTAGAAGAGGAGCTCTCGGATGTTCTCCTTTATCTTATTCGTTTGGCTGATGTTTGTGGCCTTGACCTTGGCCAAGCAGCACTTACCAAAATAGTTAAGAATGCAAGGAAATACCCAATTTCCACCACCAATCAAAGAGCAACTTCCAACTACAATTAGAGCTTTTCAAATATCTTAATTCTCTATGTAGTTCTATATGTTTGTGTGTGTGTTTTTTTTTTTCCTTTTCTTTTTTCCTTCTTTTCGTGTGTGTTTTCTTTTTTTTTTTTTTTTTTTTGGTTCTTGTCTACCAATCTAGTTTGTGGGAGGGGAAAGAATAATTGTGCTTGCTGTTTTATCCTTGTGTTTTTTGCAGCATGTTAAGAGTAAAGTGACTGAAAGAGACATGTCTCTTATCTCTTTTTGATATCTAAAAAGCTTATTGGAACTAGCCCAAGATAGCTAGAGATGGTGGATGTTTTGTTTTGTTGTAACCCCACAAAAGGCTTTGAGACTTGATATCTTGTTGACTCACATTGGATATTGGTGTTCCTTGAGCTAGTATTAAAATGATAGTCTTATTGTATTATTGGTGAGTACCAAGTCAATCTCTAATTACACCATTGGCATTTAGATTTTTTAAAAAAAAAAATCATCGGCACTTGGATCTAGTGATTTTGTTCTATCCATTAATTGCTTTTAGTGGTTACAGGTATAGTCTAGTGGTAACCTTAGACTTGACTACACCATAAGATTTAAGTTTAAATTCACCGACTTTAAATTTAAAAGAAAAACAAGCTACTTCTGCCGTAAAAAGTATGCTTCTAGATGGACACCATTTGACCTTGATTTAAGATAAAATTTTGATTTTTTATCCCACAATTAAAAGTGAAGCGATCAATTATTTTTCTCTCTTGAGGTGGATGTGAAATTACAACTGGGCCAAGCCTACAACTATAATTAAGCGTTTGGGATTTGTTTTTTCACTAAAGAGAAAAAATCCTTACAAACCTTAGTTTAAAAAAAAAACCAAAGAAAACAACCGAACAAAATAAAAAGCATAATGCAATGGAACGTACGATAACATGATCATTCCTTAATTTAAATCCCTTATCTTTTCGAGCGCTGAGTTCGTACGATTTTTTATTCTCAAAATCTATCTAATTTATTTCTTAGTTCATCAAATGACCAATTTGTCAAGAATTTAATATTGTGATTTTCATATCTTTCTGAACAATCGTACGATTGTTGATTTGTCGATGCATATATTATCCATTTCAAGGCTTCAAACTTTATAAAAATATGAATTTCAAGACTGAAGCGTTGGAGTTGATCGTCTATATATGTTCTGAAGAAAAATAAATTTGATCCCTTCTTAAAAGAAGTCCATAATTTTTTTCTTTCCATTTATTCTCCTTTTCATATAATTATTATTTTATTAAAGAAAAATATATAGTTATTTCTCTCTTTCTAAAGCTCTTTAACTAATTTAGTTTGCAGGCACCTCTTTTGATCCCCAAATCAATAATAAAATTTCTATTAGCTATGATATTTCATCTTGTTTAACTATTTCTATTGCATACTTTACAATTAAGGTAGCCTTAGGTTATAGGATGGCACTTCCATTAATAAGACCTCCGAGACTGCGTTGAAGAATGTGGCATATAGATTAACTTATTTACTCTATAAGTCTCTCTTTATGAGAGGTTGAAGAGTCGCAGCGAGTTCGTTTAGTTCGCTGATTCGAGTTTTTAATTCGAGTTGAGATGTGATTTTATGTGAGAGCTTTTTACTGTAGCAAAAAAGTTAGATGTGATTGTTTGTAAGAGCTTTTTACTGTAGCAAAACTCGAATTCTAAACTCGAATCAGTGAAATGAACGGGGCTCTAGTAGTTATTTGGAAATATTTCTGAAGTTTGTTGTTGCAATAACCTTTTGGCCGACGGCCTTAAAGTGGGTTAGTTACAGAAGAAAATTTTCAGAACGGAAAGCTATTTTGTTTTGAGAAGTTACAAGAATATTAATTTATTCTTATGCTCATTCATCATTACCTTTCATGATAGTTGCATTATCTTTAAAGATACTTGCCTTCTGTTGGTCTAAATCTCCATAGAGCTTGATGCACTGGCAATCATCTAAGTTGTGAAGATTTTTTTTTTTTTTTTGTGTGTGTGTGTGTGTGTGTGTGTGTGATGAATTCAGAGTGTTACTGCAGAATAGATGCATCTAGCTCATTATCTTCATTTTGAAGAGTTAAGTTATGTCACATGTTTAATGGAGATTCTTCATTCTTTGGCTACTCATGCTCTTAATATAGATGATAATTTTATTTGGCTAGAGTAATCTTTTAAAATAATAAACTAAATAATTAAGTCATTTATTTACACCTATCTATATATGTAGTATATGATCCTAATAAATGCTAACTGATTATTAATGATTGGACTGGATGGGTGTCTTGACACAACTAGATGTCTAGATCATATGTCACTGTTCTACTTCACGAAAAATGATAAATATGAACTGCTTAGATATAGTCATAAAGTTTTTGAGACATGCTTAACCAAATTATTATATAAATGTAGAAATTTATGCCATCACTTTTGAGATTGCGCAAGAAGATAGATACCACAGTGCTCTCTCTCTCTCTCTCTCTCTCTCTCTAACTAAATGCGTTATGATCAGGACACAAAGGGCACGCCATAGAATGATGATTAAGATCTAATTAAGCATCCAAAGTGGAAATTCCATTAGTTTGTCACCTTATTGGCTAATTAATCATTGTGGGTTCTAACTAGCCATAAGATTTAGTGTGATAATTAAGTTGTTAAATAAACAAAGCATTAATTCGTCAAGCATTAGTATTCCATCTTCTTTCCTAGTGTTGATATAATTATCAAAATTTTGAACCATATATATGAACTTAAAAGCTTCTTTTGATTAGAGACGCCTTTTTTCTTTTGAAACTCGGCTTGCGTACTTCAAATGATCTCTTTTGAAAGAGTTGCAATATATTTTCCTCCTTAATCATCATCTTTTCATTTTGAAACCACAAGTATGTCTAAGCTAAAAAGAATATGGACCATTAATAAAACAATATCATGTCGTTTTCTTTTTTTACTCGAGTTCTAGAAAAACCAAAAAAAGTCACAAATCTAATGCAATTGTTATTCATTGTTGGTCCTACGTTATGTGTTGTCACATGATGATTTGGCCGAGAAACATTTTCCACAATCATTTTGAAATCAGCTGAGGAAAGTACATGATTTATTATGTTTTTTAGAGGCTTAGGCCTCGTTCACTTCGCATATTTGAATTTTTAATTTAAATTGAGATGTGACATTTTTTAATAGCTTTTAATTGTAATAAAAAAAGTTAGATGTGACATTTTCTGATAGCTTTTAACTGTAGCAGAAAAAGTTAAAACTGAAAACTCAAATCGGTAAAATAAATGAGACCTTAATATTTATGTCATTCTAAATAATTGGATGTCATTGTGGCTTTTTATTTTCTCTTTATTAATTGAATAACAATTGTTTATTTATTATTAAATTGAGTGACATAAATAATATTTTTTTATCATTTTAAGCAGCATTTCTGATTTTTTATTCAAAAATCATAACAAACGGTGGGTTATTTTTTTTTAAATATCAAAGTTTTTAACACTTAGCAAAAAATAGGTTATGTATAGTCATTTTTTTACGGCCGATTATCTCGGTGTATGTTGAGAAAAGTGTATGTGTGTATTGTCCCACATGGAAGGTGGATGAGAATGTGCAGTAGTTTATATGCATAGAAGGACCCAAGACCCAATAGGTTAATCTTTTGGGTCAAGTTGGGCTCTTGAAGTGTATTGAGTTAGTTTCGCATGTGATGTCTCCCTAACAAGTGGTATCAGAGTTGATGGTTCATATAGGTCAAGCGATGACACTCGGTTTCAATTCCCACGTTGCCTCCCGTGGAGAGTTGGTGTTCCCACATGTGTGGATGGTGGAGTATTTGGTGGACTCGCATGGTTTCGGCTCTCTTTCTCATGCTTGAGTTGGCTCCCGTTTAGAGTGTGATGCTTGATGTGCCGGCTATTAGAAACTTTGATTTGAGTAGGAGCTCGATAAACACACACATAAGGGAGAGATTGTTGAGAAAAGTGCACGTGTGTATTGTCCTACATGGAATGTGAATGAGAATGTGAAGTAATTTATATGCATGGAAAGACTCAAGACCCAATAGATTAACTTTTTGGGTCAAGTTGAGCTCTTGAAATGCTTTTTGAGTCAAGTTGGACTCTTAAAATGTATTGGACTAATTTCACATGTGGTGTCTCTCTAACAGTGTATTGTCTACGCACACAAAATGCATTTTGATCTTCTTCAAATGCTCAAGGCAATCCCCAAGCTTCGTATCCAAGACATTGGTGACAACTATGCGAATATGTGATTAATTTATAATAATTATCCCGTTCTCCCTTTGTGTGTGAATGTCAGAAAAAAAACAAAAAAAAACAAAAAAGGATATTTTGGAGGATTGCCATGGATTATGTGTGGGTGGATTCACTTTTGCCATGAATTATGTGGGAGGAGTCAAATCTCTGCGTGATCTCCTCCGATGTCGCCACCCTTGCCCCTGCGCAACGACCCTACTATCCGTTAAAATATCATTCGCCCGACACAACGGATTTTGAATTTTGTAAACTTTTTGAAACTTTTGTGATTTTTTTTCTTTCTATTTTGTAGATTATTTGGATTTGTTTTGTATTTTCATGTATCTTTTCTGGTCTAATGTGATTTTAGTATAATAACGGCGGTTTCTTACAGATACTAGCCGTTATAACAACCGAATACCTATTAGTAATTAGTTAGTATTATGGTGGATACTGATTGGTATCTTAAGAATATATTTAGTATTCTAAATATTGTGTGAAGATACGATCGTGTCATTCTCTTTAATTATTTCTTTTTTACGGCATAAGTTAATCCAAGTTTTAGATTTTGCTGTGAGAAATAATTTACATTTATTGAGGGAAAGCTCACTCTAGTACGTACGATTATATTATAGATAAGAAACATTCCAGCATCGCTTGATTAACCGTGCGAGAGCGATCGGATGAAAGAGAAGAATTGGGATGGGATATATGTTTTGTTAATTATGATTTTGGTACTATATTATTTTAATAATTTAAGTAGGATATGTATATTTTGGGACTGAGGTTGTGCAATTTACGACCTTAGTCCATATAATGACAAGTATGATTATTCTTAATTATTTCATGTTCTTAATTTAAATTAAGTTATATAGGATAAAAAATGTTCTGCAAATTTTGAGTTATGAATTCTGTAATATAATTAAGTAGTTCTTAATTTAAATTAAGTTATAACAGCCATGTAAAACTGGTCGTTATAGAAGGTAAGGGCTAGAGAGCTAATGGGTGCACTCTTTCAATGTTGAGAAAGTGACTTTCGTTTTTGAAGATTTACTGTCGTTTCTCTATAATGTGTAAAATA